GAGGAGGGGCAATTTATGAACTTTGCCTTGGGCTCCGACGATACAGGACCGGCCTTGACTGTAGGATCAAAATGAGGCCTAATTGAATCCTATTCGGGCTCTCTGAAAGATCAATTTAGAGTGTGTTTGAAAGGACATTCAACCGCTACTTAATAAAAGCTATGTGGTTAAAATTAGATATAATGCTAATAGATATACTTACAATAATTGTGCCCAACAAACCCTTAACATCACTTAAATTGGGAATTTACCTCTAAAAATCCATCCAAATCTTATATGATAATATTTATTGGAAAAATTAGACAAACATGCATAAAAATTAGGGGACATTTGAAATGTAAGTGAAAAGTTAAAAAGGTACAAATCATTTTGCATTGAGTAATGCTATGAAGCCCCATTGGAGTTGCAACTTCAATTTAGATGGCAGTAAATGAGAGATTAAATAAAAGATGAAATTAAATGGGTTATTTAATTCCACTTATCAATTAATATCACATTAGCAGCACTAAAAAATAGGTTAAATGAAATATGAAATTAAATGGATTATTTAATTTCACTTATCAATTAATGCCACATTAGTGTCATCTAAACTGGGGTTACAATCCCAATGGATCTAAATAGCATCACTTTTTCACATTCATACCGTATTAAATACCCTCATATTATAGTTAGCAGAAAAAATTTAAATTACATCTTGATCGATTGGGAGAAATTTTCTTAAAATACCATATCCACCCCCCTTCCATCATTCCCCACTGCCAAGGACAGGACATGTCCAATTCGATTCGATTCAATTCTAACGAGAACAGAATCGGACTCAAAATTTTTGAGTAATTAGTAAGTGGAACCATCGGGTCCAAATTTAATTATGGAACCGTTCGGATTCGATTCCATTCGATTCTGTTTCATTCGGTTCTCAGGTTCTGTATTAAAATTAATTTTTTTTAATATTTACAAAGATACATTTATTCAACTAATGATATATTCAATTTTAACTCTTACAAAATAACATAGTTCAATCTTATATATCTTTTATGTTTCTCTTTACTAAATTCTTCATAAATTTTATTATTAAAATAATGAGAAGAGGAAGATAGTTAGCTCACAATAATTAAGAAAGGTGTTATTGAGCTTCAATTCGATTTCACCAGAATGATAGAAATGACACTACAGTAGAGTAACAAATTTGTATAAAACTTAGGTCAATTTAATTAAGTTGGCTTTGAACTGAAAATTAGAAATAGGAAAATTATATTTTTGGATTTGAGTTTAATTAACTAGTTAGCAAATTTATTTAGAAAAATTAAAATAATTTGTTTATTTAAAATAAATTAATTAAAAAAATTAAGGAGATTCGGTTCTTCGATTTTTAATCTAAAATCGAGAACTGAACCGAACCCGTCGAGAATTCAGATACCCATTCGAGTATTTAACTTAAGAAGAACCGCTCGAATCGATTTGGAAGTTTTATCCAGCCCTAACAACCGCCATAGACCGTCGCAGAATAGCCATTAATTGTACACTAATTTTTTGGTGGTAAAGGATGGCTATTGAAGTCTAATCACTTTATATCACAATCACGTGCTTTACCTTATTTCCTTATATGCAGATAGCTGAATAGAATCCTTAATTGCCTCTGTATTAATGTGCAGCCAACTAACTTTTTTAAGGTAAATTAAAATACTAAAAAAAAAAGGTTGAACCCCATCCTTGAGGGCGCTCACCATTCCGTCCCTGGAACATCGTAAGGAATGTAAATCGCAGGATGTGTCCCAACAGACCAAGGAACAAGAGTTTGTTCATACACTAGTGCCCACAAAGAGTCCAATTCCATATCCCAAGAATCGAACCCTCACACTGTGACTGCCAGCAATGTTGAAACTACCTCACTCCTATTCTTTGCACCACTGAGTTATGCTCCGGAGGGCTTAAATTAAAATACGATATTATACGATTTCATGTAATGGGTAACATTGGCTTTTGTTATTTTGATGTTTTGTTTTTTGCTTCTGGCATAGGTAAACTCTAACTCGCACACTGTGGCTGTCAGTAAGGTTGAGACTACCTCACTCTCGTCCTTTGCACCACTGAGTTATTCTCCGGGGGGCTTAAATTAAAATACTATATTATACGATTTCATGTTAATGGGTAACATTGGCTTTTGTTATTTTGATGTTTTGTTTTTTGCTTCTGGCATAGGTAAACTCTAGCTCGCAATGTTGGAAAGTGGTTGTGTCTCTTTTTAATTAAAAGGTCACACAATATTTGTTTATGTTGTGTTAAATGAGAATTAAACTTTTCTAAGCCAGGTTTAATTCATATATAAGTGGCTAATGTTAAAAAAAATTAAAGTAAATTTTTGTTACTTTAGATAAAAATTAAATTAGCTTAAAACTTTCTTATATAGAAGTGATATGTCATGTCACCATACTACAATATTTACTTTTAATTACAACTGTAAAATCAAATTTGTAAAATTATACACCTGATTAGCGATAATTTCGAATTTTTACTATTTTATTATGTTAATTTTTTTAGTTTGAGCATCACCTCTTTGTTCACTTTCTCATAAGGAATGAACATATTTTTTTAAATATTTGCCATTAATGAACCTTATGTACTTGGTGCCATCTAAATCTTCCAAATGATAGGCTCCATTAGGCAACACATTATTTATTTTATATGGTCCTTCTCAATTGGGCGACCACTTGCCATACTTTGAATTTTTGCTATCCAAAGGGAGTATTATTTTCCAAACCAATTCGTCCAGGCTGAACGACTTGGCTATAACTTTTTTAATATAAAACTTAGCCATCCTTCGTTTTTGAACTTGCAATCTATTTAGGACGTCCAACTTTAATTCGTCCAACTCCAATAAGTTTTGAACTAGTGATTCGATATACTCATCATCACTTAACTTATGTTGTAAACATACTCTGATCGATTGCACGTTGATTTCCATAGGCAAAACGGCCTTCTATCCATAAGTAAGTTGGAAAGAAGTAATTTTGATACTTGACCGAGGCGATGTCCTATAAGCCCATAAGGCCTTGTTTAGACATTCGTGCCAATTTCTGGCATTTTCATCTATCATTTACCTTATGATATTTTTTAGAATCTTATTAGAAGATTCTGCTTGTCCGTTGGATTGAGCGTAATATGGTGTGGAGTTTACTAATTTAACTTCAAACTCGCTCAAGAATTTATTCAGTTGATCTCCATTTAAAGAAGTTCCGTGATTTACCATCAAAGTTTGTGAAATTTCAAATCTATAAATAAAATGATCATGGATAAATTCTATGACACTCTTTTGGGTGATCTCCTTTAAAGGTATCGCTTCTACCCACTTAGTGAAATAATCAGTTGCAATTATAACAAACGTATGTTGCTTGGACGATGTGAGATAAATCTTCCCTATCAGGTCTATCGCCCAACCCTTAAACGGTCAAGGTTTGATAATAGGTGTCATCTCTCGTGCTGGAGCCCTTTGTATTGGACCATGCTTTTGGCATGCTAGACAACTCTTTGCATACTGAACACATGATTCTCCCATCTTTGGCCAAAAATATCCATTCCTAATAATTAACCATCTCATCCTTTGGCCAGCTTGATAAGCTCCACATATCCCTTCG